CGGGAAGAACTGAGAGTTGAACAACAGAGCCATGTTGTATGGTGATAGTGGGAGAGATTTTGTCTGTATATCTTCCCGAGTCCGAAGCAGAAGATTCAGCCTCGGCCTTCACGGGAGTTGATCACACTGTTGTGTAAGACCGGTATGTTGTTCCGTTCAAAGTTCACTTTGAGGCCGTCGTGATCTAAGTTATGTGAGCCTGACCGAGAGTTTGGCCAGGTAGATTGATTGAAGAAAGGGGTAGGACGTCCCTTTTTGCACAGAGCTACCTGGATGGTTCTGCCTCTAAGTTGCTCGTTGTTTTGATCATGCAACGGATGATGTAGCTAGCATGATTTGGTGTGGTTGGGGTGTAGAACTGTAGCGATCACATTGTGTTGCACATCCTGTTGATCGAAGTAGCAACAAACCAACTGCAAGACGCCGACTTGGTTGCTAGATAGTGCGCTGCTCAGCCTGCCGAGTAAAATAGTCAGAGGTGAATCGCGAACTTGTGGACTTACCAGTGACCATGTCCCTTGGATCCGCGGGTGCTGAGAAGTAACTGCAGTTGTTGAAGGGGAGGTCTTGCTGCGGTTTGAGGGATCACCGGGGAGCCAACAGGTGGCAGTTGAATGTAGTTAACTGAGTAGGCTGTGTTTTATTGGGGGTTGATTACGCATCACCAAATTTTTGATAAAGTATGAGGGAGATGTGCACTAGTGTCAGGTGATGGTGCCGTCTGGAATCGAGGTAGCGGGACTTGGTGGCATGATCAGGCTTGTGAAGGGGGTTACCGCCGCAACTTGAAGTTTTGTCAGAGTGTCGGTTGTCAACAACTTGACTTCAGTTTGACCAAGCTGCTCAACACTTTGGCTGTCATGGCGCGATGATTGCGGGGCCCTCACGTGATTGAAGGCATCAAGGCCCTCTCCTGCGAGTTGAGTCAGTCCCCCTCTTGTATCTCGAGAGTCTCAAACCCCTCTTCCTGCCCTTCTTACTCTAAGTTTAATCCTGTTATGAGAGGAAGGCGGCAGGTGGGATTGCAACTCGTAGGACCGCAATAAGACTCTGTGGGGAGTTAACCCACCGATTGTGGGAGCTCTGCCGGAACCTAGGCGAGGTTCTGGAGGTAGGGAACTAAGAGGTAACCATTGCTTTCCTTCTATAAACCCAGTTATAACCCCTACCTGTAGGTCTTGTTATGGTTGACTGAGTATATTGCCTACATCCCTACTTTGACTTTCAGTTTGACTTTCAGGACAAACCATACTTAATTAAATGAGTGATTGTGCAAGTTGTAGTTTCAGTTTTGTTGGTTTGACTGAAAGCAGATTGTGGGGTTGCATCTGGGGGAAGGATGGGAGGAGGGCAGTATTGCATGTTTGACTGGGTCAACCAAAGGCTGGGATAGTCTCCATAAGATTGGAGAGCCAAGTGCTATGTTTATTTTTTATTTCCTGAACGACCAGACAGGTTCGCATAAGATTGTGTGGTCTGGTTGCTTTGACTTGTGAGAGCTGTCACTGCTTGATTTTCAAGGACCAAGCATTTTTCCATAAGATTAGATGACCAGGTTGGCTTGTTTTCTTTGGGTTTTCTTATGTTTTGTTAATTTCTTAAGGAGAGGTGGGCACGTTCCATAAAATTGGATGACCCTAATTCTCTGTTGTTTTATTTTTTAGGGAGAAATTCAGGCAAAGGACTGGACGGGTTCCCATAAGATTGGGTGGTCTAGTCTGGAGCCACGCACATGCTGGAATAAAAAAGGCTAAATTTGTTTATATTTTATATTACTTACTTACGAAGAGGTTAGTCAGACATTTTTCCATAAGAATGGATGGTCAGACTATAACTTATCACTAACTAAAAAAAGTATAAATTAAGAATAAAAATTGTGGTAAGAAGGGACAGGCTGAATCTTGATCTAAGATAACCGGTTCAGTCATATGTTGCCTTAAAAGACGATGTGCAGACAATTATATATAACTTTGGTACTTAAATGGTCTAGGCCGACTAGGCTGGCTAACCTAGTCATATGCCCAAAGAAGAGAAAAGTTGTAGTACCCTGTGTTTGTGTATATTCTATGGCTAAGCTAGACAGATTCCCATAAGATTGGGTGGTTTAGCTCTATGCCTTATGTAAGTTGGGTATAAAGGGATAAATCAGTGAAAGAACATGAACTATTGTTTGATGAGGTTGACTTTGGGGCTGGTGAGAATACTTACCTTTGTGGTTTGGGCCTGCATGTGACTGAGTGAGGCTACTACTTAGTTAGAGTTTCAGTTTGATAGGTAGTTGCTTTAGGTGCTCGCCACGTGCTAGAGCCATAGGAGTTAGTTTGAATTCCTGCATTTTCTGAGCAAAGTTTATTTTTTTACTTAGGTCAATTTCTGCAATTTTTTGAATCATTTATTATACTTGGTCTTGTATAAATCTTGGTAAGTCACTTTCTCTACAGGAAGCGCTGCCGAAATTTCTACAAAACCAATGAGTAAGTCATATTTTGTTTTTTTCAAGGTCTTGTTTTTCTTACTTTTTGGCTTAATAAAAATCTAGAAAACCTGATTTCCTAAAGGGAGTGTTGCCCAAATTTTTGCTAATTCAGGGAGTTAGACAAAATTGAACCTTGAGAAGTCAAAGTCACTTTAGATTCTAAACTTAACTTTGTATAAATTTTGGAATAACACTTTTTTTACGGGAAGCGCTGCCGAAATTTCTACAAATCTAAGGGGTCAGTTAAACTCAAGTTTAGCTTCTGAGTTCCTATCTGACTTAGTATAAACCTGGGAAGCCTACCTTTCTAAAGGAGATGCTGCCCAAAATTTTACTAATTTCGAGAGTTAGACAAAATTTGACCTTCCAGAATTAGAGTTTATTTTGTTTTTATATTTGAGTTAGTATAAATTTCGCGAAGACATTTTTCCTATGGGAAGTGCTGCCGAAATTTTCTTCGTTTAGATGAGTTAGATTATATTTTGACAGGTGGCAGGTCTAGCGGTCCACTTTAAATAGAGGGAGATTCTGCCAAAGGTCTGCCTTTCATTAAACACTAACTTAGGAGTAAACTCGTGACTAGTTAAGTATAATGATTCTTGGTGAAATCGTGATATGGAGATTACTCTCGATTTGGACTTATAGATTTAGCTTGAGGATTGGCATGTCTTGTGTTACAAGTCCTCTTGAACGTTTGATTTGAAATAAGGATTAGATCCAGCTTGATCCTACAAGGATCACCTTCTATTATCACTGATAACAGGTCGGTTGCCGATTCGTCGGTCTACGGCTCAACTCCAATTCATCCTCAAGTACTCAACCGAAAAGGCTTTAGCCCTGGTGATTTTTATTGTTTTATTAAGGTTTTCACTTACACTTTATTGAATGGCCATTTAACAAAGGTACTGAGTATTTAATTATGGAATGTTGGACAAACGCTGGGGCTTGCATGGCTAAAGCAAGGGGTATGAGTATAAAGATAGGTTGAAGTTGACTTCGTGTAGTGCATGGACTTTTGGTTGACTCTTTGACGTGATTGCAGGTATGTTCTGTGGTTCGGATTTTGGATTTGACTGTAAGCGATCACACACATATATATGGTTGTGAGGAGTCTCACTGTGATTGTGAGAAGTGATTGTCACATACTTATACCTCCTTCACATATATATGTGTATGCACCTATATTGGGTTTTCGTGTGGCCTGAGGCGCCTACGCTTAGGGGTTTGATTGGGGTCAAGATTGAGAAAGGAGAGAAAACCCTGTTTTATTATTAAGTGTTTCTTAAAGATTTCTTAGTCGGACGTTGGTCCTGGGCCTGGATTCGAGGTCCTTGTCTAGGACATCCCAGGTCCTCGACTCTGCATGGAAGGGAACACCCCCTGCGCAGAGCCTATTTGCCCTGCCTACCGAGACACTCAGCCTGAAGGTCGGAAGTGCCGCGGAGGTCGCACGACTATTCCTTCAGCCGTGCAATATCGTGAAGGGGTAAACCTTCACGATACTTCGAGTCTGACACTTGAGTGTCATAAGCGGTACTCGGATCCACGAGGGACCGCTTGATTATGTGCACTACATAGTACGCCATCATCACAACTGCTTGCGTATTCATGCATTGCTAGTCGATATGAGTTGGCCTTGCGTCCTCGCGGTTTTATACTAAGTCTCGCGCACGACGTCTATCCGATTTCCACGTCGGAGAGTTATGGGATGGTTACTAAGGGACTAGGAGTGTTATTGCATTGCTTGTTCATTGTCGTTCTGTATAGGTATGTATATGTATGTGTTGGTTTTTTTTTTTTTAATGTTCTTTAAGAGTGGTGTGCGCGTGTGGTGTGTGGGATGCGTCCTAGTCGACCGACGATGAGTCGCGCTTGGGACCTCAGCCCCGCAAGGCGTTGGTTCGCATTTGGGTCTGATAGAGGCGTAATACCACACGTACCCCCTATGCTACAACGTACGAGAAACGCCCTCGGCTAGTCCACCTTCGCGATTACAATTGATTAGCTTTCGTACTGTGGACTGGTAGCTCAGCGGGGATACACCCACCGAAGGGAGGTGACAACTCCCGTAAGGTGGAGGTAAGGTCGTGCCTCGCGTAGACCCTATCCTGTCGTAGGAGCTCGCGAGAGGTAAGGCTGGTGCACTCGGTCGGAGGGGCTTGAGGAAACTCCATATGTATTCCCGACGAGGATCAAACCGACTCCTGCGTGACGTGACCGGGAGGGTCCCGCCCTGCCTTGCGCGGTGCCGGACCGATGCGCTCGACAGGTGGCGCCGTTGTCAGGGATAACGGAAGCCTACCGTTGTCCCTGGTGGAACGACATCCGGGTATACGATTGAGAGAGAATAGGCATATGAGGAAAGACAGAGTACGTAATATCTTGTTAGGCTAATTATGATGGATAAACATTATTAATGTAATAAGTTTTATCTCTAATCTGATTGGCTGTCTAGGTTAGAGTATCATAAAGGAGACCCTATAGGGAAAATGGGGTCTATTAAGATGAGTTCAAAGGGGTGGAATCGGTAGTACTACTCGATCTGAATCGCTAAGTGGCAGTCTAGGAAGCCCGATAGGCGTCACGGTAAGTCAGGACGCTGAATGAAAGTTTTTTTCCTCTCTCTTCTTAACAGGGAAATTTAAGTAAGAGGTTCGACCAAGATGCCGGGAGGCATAGCTGATGGTGCTGGGAAGGTCCTGACGATGGATGATTTGGTCGAAGCCTTGGACAGGCGTGAAAGGTTGCAGAACAACGTTCCCAAGGTCGATACCTTCCACTTCAATGGGGAACGGGTCTCCGATTAACTTAACTTGGTAGAACAAGCGTTAGTGGGACTATCGGACGCTGTGAAATTTCAGCGAATTTTGAAGTATGTGCTCCATTGCCATCACAAAGTGGTAGAGAAGATGTAAATGCAGCTAATGGCAGTTGGGCAAGATTCAAAGATGAGATGCAAAGGAAGTACAGGCTGGGTGATGGCCTGTTAACCACTGCGGACCTGGAAGCAATAAACAGGAATGACTTCACCACAGTAGGAGCCTTCCTACAAGAATTTAAGAAGAAGGCGAGAAAGGTCCCTGGGATTTCCGAGGAGGCGCAGTGTGCTATTTTATTTGCTCACTGACTCGGAAGCGTCAGAGCTGATGAGCCATGGAGGAGGAAGTGCGAAGCTCACCTGGGCCACTATTGACAAAGGGGTAGAGAAAGGAAGTCTGGACCAGATGGAGCAGTATCAGATGCGTTTGCGAAGGCGAATGAGGAAAGAACGGGATGCAACCGCTTCAGGGACTCCGGGAGTGAAGAGGATTGTCACCGACGTACTTGCGGAGTTGGGCTATGGGAAAGACGCAGTGATACAAAAGAAAGTGGTGACGGCGATCCAAGGAAAAGGGAAGGATCCGGTGATAGAGGAAGTCGTCCATGAGGAGTGGGAAAAAGAGGAGCCGGTTCCCCATCACCTATCAAAAGCACTACGCAAACAGTGCAACTTAACGTAGGGAGGGCAAGGCTCAGGAAAGGGACAGGCGCYCCAAACAGTGGTAGTAGCTTCGCCAAGTGCGTCGGCTCCGTCAAGTAGTGCGGGACCCTCGCAAGCAGCGGCACCACCATACGGGCAGTGGCCATGGCCTGTGTTCAACATTTTTGTGTCATGGGGAAGTATTGCTCCATCTGGGCAGATGGTACCATACGCTGGGCCCCAAGCGAGTATGCCACCACCAAACTATCCCGCAACACAAGCCCAACCCATGGCACCGCCTCCGTCGCCCGCGCCGAGTTCACAAGGTAGTGTGGTTGGTGGAGGTAATCAAGGT